TTTAAACGCGTGATCAATTGTTACAGGATGGATTGGTAACACGGCTGTTTACAAGAATGAAGGCCCTCATTCTGGTTACATAACATTAGGAGAAGTCACAATTCCTGTTTACGACAATAAAGACGGCTGCTTGAAAATAGATGAAGCGTATTTGGACAAGTTCAGCTCTATCCTTCATTTGTTCGAAATCGACTAAAAGAGTACTTCGAGGACTTTCTTTAACTAACTTGAATATTCGATCGATCATAATTAATGGAATTGTTCATATATTTATCAGTATTTTAGCTACTATATTTCTACAAATTTTGGCTATTAACATACACTTTGTTTATTAACACACATTTTGGCTATTACCATACACTTTGGCTATTAACACACATTTTGGCTATTAACATACACTTTGGCTATTAACACACATTTTGGCTATTAACATACACTTTGGCTATTAACACACATTTTGGCTATTAACATATACTTTGGCTATTAACACACATTTTGGCTATTAACATACTTTTTGGCTATTAAAAAACGTTTTGACTATTAACATACTTTTTGGCTATTAAGACACATTTTGGCTATTAACATACTTTTTGGCTTTTAAGACACATTTTGGCTATTAACATACTTTTTGGCTGTTAACATACATTTTGGCTATTAAAACAATTAAATAAAATGCATGGATAAACAGATATAAACGTGTTGTTTCATGAATGTAGAAGCAGTGATCTGGTAATCTTTCTATTATCATTCAGCAAATCATGCTTCCGAGCATTTATATAATTAATTTGATTCTTGTGATAAGGAGTATGTGCCAGTCAGTGTTATTCATTCGATATGATGTTGAACTGTCAGGAACACATAGATACTTGAATGATGTTGATTGGACATCAGGGTGCAGAGAAATCGTAATTTTACCGAGAGCAAGGAAATTGGCACACGCCTTCATACTTTATTTTGTACCAGAAAATGACATGTGCAGGTATTGCAATTTTTTACCAAAATGTTATTTTCTAGCTGTACCTTAAAGAGATCGAGTCGTCCAGATTTCTATTCTGGACAATCAGTAATGTCCCAATATAATTGCTCATAAAACATCATATATACCTTAGATATATCTTGAGACCAAATCATAAGCACGATATCGACAAAATATTGAGGAATGAACAGGACAACCAAAAGAACAATCAACTGTCCAAATTGAACGGAATAAGTCGAAAACAGAATACAATGTTTTTTGGGGATGTATCTATATTGTAACCCCTTAGAAGTAATAAATATGGTTTCTCTAAGCCAAAATAATCTGAAGGAAAAAGGCAATCAAACTGGAACAAAATTGAGCGGGCTTTTTAAATTTGAACTTCTATTGATGTAAGTGAAAATTCATGGCTAGGAACAATCATCGAATTGATATTGTTAACGAATTAATTCAAGCCTCAGAATTGATAAGTTGATAAACAAACTTGTTTTACATCAAATAACACGAAAAAATCAGGGGGTTACTCTAATTGTGTTTTTAGGAGACCCGATCTCTTTAAGGGTGGTAATTTCAAAATACTACACAGTGGCCAATGTTTTACCAAATTGCTACATTGTTTCAATGAATATGACGTTAGAACTGTAGTACATTTTAACATTTATAATATTCAACCATGACAACAACCGGATAACTGAATATCTAGGGCAAGTGTATTTCCAAAATAAACTTTGTTGATGGACCTGTCTTCTAGACGGTAGCTTCTAGACAGACATGAAATTGTTAAAATCAGCAATTCTTAATTTTGATTTTAGGACGTCAAATTGGTTAAAACGCATTAATAACACTCTTGCTTAAGTTGCTTGTGTTTTTATTGTTATTGAAGTAAAATAAATTTTGCCTCTAGTTTATGGGGGGCCCCTTTATGTGAGCTAATTTGATAACAAAAAGTAAAGGGTAAAGTGTTCAAATCGCGGGTCAGTTATTATCAAAAAATTTTGTGGGGTACTAATTAAAGACAATATTCACTCTTTCAATAGTTGAATATTAAGCATAAAAGAAACAAACTTAAAATCTGAACACCGAATTGGTCTTTTACCTTGCCCCACACTGTATGTGTAATCTCATCAGAATAGCATTAAGCAACTCTTCATCTTCATTAAACAAGACTAATATGGAAATTTAAGAAACAAAATTAAAAACTTTATTACATATTATAGTTATTATATTATTCTAAAATTGCATTAATAAACAATGGTTATTACACTTGTATTTGTAGTCTAAAAAGCAATCTTAAATACACAACCATAAACATAACATTTTTCAACAATAAAAAATATTTGGACATAATATGTGTACTGCTATAAATAAGATGGTGAAATACATACTTAGTGCATGTAATTTATAATTGAATTGGTTTTCTTGAACAAAGGATGGGTATCGATATGGTGAACTTTTTGAACACATGTTTCTCTTAAAGCAGTCATCAAAAAGTTTTGAAAATTGTTGTACATCGTCAATTTAATGATCATCTTTTGAATGGTAACAATATAATTTGATGTAAATATATATACTTTTCTCTATATTGTTTTAGAAAACACATCAGACACTGCTTTTGTTCTTGGTACCATATGTTCGGAATTAAATAAAAAATCTATCCGAACCTCATTGGAACAAAATGACATAAATACAACGTCTTTAGGTCTCTCAGTATTGTAATTGTACAAAGGAAAGTTTGGTTGATTTTAAAAAAGTTACTTGTTAATGAAATAAAAGGTTTATCTTATTTTTTCAATTTTGTTTTAATTTTTTGAATACTTTTTGTTAAATCAACCAAAATTTCCTTTGTATAATTATAATATTGAGAGGTCTAAGGATATTTTATTTCATTCTCAACATTTGGAAAAAGGAACAAAAACAATTGCACTAAAAACAAAGAATGTGAACAAAAACAGTTCTATAAAATATATATAAATAATTTTTGCATTAAATTGTTGTCAATCAGTCGAAGCATTAAGGACCATTACAGGAATGTTTTCAATGATTAATTTAAGGGAAAAACATTGTTGAATTCAGTTCACCATATCGTTACCAATCATTTTGATATATCACCCAACCATATACCGATTTATTCAATACCATCAACTGGTTTGTGTGTTTATATATATGTCATCACCCAGGAACTAAAAAGTAAAATTGTAAAAAGGATTTTCACTAATATGAATCTCAACAATGGACCTTATAGCATCTAAAATCACCCATCAACCATATAAAGGTTATAGTCATCAATGTTAAAAAGTAGTTACAAATTCTCACTACACTTCTTTGGAAATCTACATAGAAATTAACATTATCTCGGAATTTTCCATTTGTGTAATGGAATTTTCCAGAACTCTGTAAATCCTTCTTAAAATTCAATTCAATCTCAATACATATAATTGTTATAAAGATAACCAAATAAACACTGGTTTCAGCTTATTCAATACAAGTCATTATAAATCATTTATATTTTAGCCTTTACAATTGAAATATAAATCTTGCCTGAGGTTTTTATAATATCACTATAACATAAATCACTAAGATGACATACACGATTTTCAGAGTTCTGGAAAATTCCATTGCACAAATGGAAAATTCCAAGATAATGTTAATTTCTATGTAGAATTCCAAAGAAGTGTAACTTTGATTGTACAAAGGTCTTTCACACTAGATCATCACAATGATTTAATAAAATGTATCAAAATAATATGTAGTATTAAACTAATGCACATAATTCAATTTAACTAGCAAATATTAAAAAAAGAATGAAGTACATTCAAAGGTATATAACAAAAGGTAATGCCAAGAAAAATTGTTAAAAAAATGTTACAGACGCTAAACACCAATGAAACATTGAAAGCCAGTCACAAAAGTGATGGAGGTTACAATACATCATAATAATTAAAATGCAGTTTCAATGTAAAAATATATTATTGCAAATTAGTATAATTCACAACCAGTTTCGTGTTTACACAAACTCATTAATAGAATTAATATCATTCACATATAGGGACATATCATATATCCAAGGGAAGGTATTACATAAACATTTTGTTTCAAGTAGATATATTGCAAATTAGTATCTTAGCACATACATGAATAAATAAAATGTACAACTCATTATATGTTCAATAATAATGGTAAGGCTGAAATTTCTTGTTACTAGTCACATACATCCTAGCTTCGGAACCTTACAAGCCTTGCTTTAGACAACTCAACAATTTTTAAATATGGTTAATTTTTCATCAACTCTTCTTACTTGATTTAAAATAAACTACTTGCGCCTAACTGTATCAGAGATGTGTATAAAGTATTTTTGTAAAATATCAAATGCAACAAATATTGATATTGCAGACTGAAAGGTTTTGTTTTTTTCATATCTATCAGAAAGAATTGTACCATTTTTCCTGCAGATTCTTATCTTTTACAGGATTTCTGCTATACACTTGTCAACCAGAACTTTTTCTCCAACTTTTCTCTCACAACTCCTTTTTCTTGGTTTAATTTCAAATGACCTTACACTGAAGTGTACATCTTGGAACTACCGTACAGTTAAACCTGACAGATAGAACACATATCTGTAAGGAACACCTATCTACTTTGTAAAGAGAACCTGTATACAAGGAACAACTTGGTAATTATGATGAGGATTCCACATACTCAACTTTTACTGTACAGTACATATTTCTCAACTTATGCTATAAAACATAATCAGCTGTTAAACTTTGGCAATTAGAAAACAATGTAAAATGGGAACATCTATAAAAAATAATAAACACCTAATTCAAGAGGGGTAAAATCCCATGGTTCAGAGATGACAAACATCTATAGGCCTAGTGTAAATGTGTATTGAGATGACATCGTTGCTGATTGGTCAAATAAGAAATATGCTAAGGTGTGCACACTGGGTATAAGCCAGTGAAAATTCGACTAAACAAAGGTGGTAGGTAAGAGATGTAATAATTATGTCTGTCATCTCCTAAGCTCTGGGGTTTCCCTCCTCTTACCTAATACTGTCTAATACTAATTGAGATCACTATAATTCCCAAAATACATGTTTGTAGTCTGATGATAAAAATGTCTCTGCTCTCTTTTCATGATAGTTTTTGTACATACTCATGACCATGAGTAATGAAAGTATGTATCATGGAAATATCATACAAAATGTATTTAACACATGTACACATTCTGTCAACATTTTTGGACCCTGTTTTTAACTTCAGCAGAATTTAATAGATTATGCACTTTATAGAGCATTGATATTCTTGTGAATAGTTATTCATTGATCATTTTGATAAAATAATACTTTATATTGTGGTTAGATAATGTTACATGAGTTATGTATGTTGCCTCAGCAGAAACTGATGGAATCAGATTGCAAATAAGGCACTAATGCAAGCCTCATTCAACTATGTGCATACCTCAACTGTTTTAATTCCTTCAATTTCTGCATCATCTTCTTTGATGCTTTCTATACTTGGACCTGCTTTCATGAATTGCTTATTATGAGAGGTTTTGTGATGTTTAGGAGATTGGGGAACATTTTTCCTTTTACTCCTATGCTTTTTCTTAGGTGTATTAGGCATGCCACCCACTGCACCATTTTCCTGACAACTTTCTTTGGAATTCTGATTATAATGGAATTTTCCATTAGTGTCATTGTTATGGAATTTTCCATTGGATCCATGGAATATTCCATTGGTATTAGGGCATTTTCCATAAGGGTCACGGAATTCTCCACTAGCATCATTATCATGGAAATTTCCATTGGTGCCATGGAATTTCCCTTTGGACGGGACTGACATGTCTTCTTTTTCAGGCACAATATCACCTTTTTGAGCATGCGGCTGTTCATTTCTATTAAGCTCTTTATCAGTATTGACTTCACCTTTATATATATCCATGTCTTTTGTTTCCTCGTTCTGTTCACTCACCAGCTCAATTTGTATCTTTGGAAGTGCTAAAGTATCATTAGATATGACAGTTGTGGTATACGAGTCATCTTGAATGTCTTTTGGATCGGATTGCTCATTGGTGATAAGATGCTCTGGATTATAACATCGCCTACGTCTTATGATGACAAAACAAACAATAGAGACGATAATCATGATGACAAGGATGATAAAAATGATGAGAATCACAAGTCCTATTGTTCCACCTGGAAACAGAAATCATTCCATTTAAAATGGCTATTGGAAATATTTCAAGAAATATCTAAGGGTTAATATACAATATACAATACTCACTGGATTTTATGTTCAAGATCCCCAACGCATTGTTCTTTTCATAAGCCGTTCTAAATTATTGTTACTACACTTGTCAAACATAAACATCAAAGCTTACATTATCAATCACTCAGTCTTCGGTATCTTTTTATATGTGTCATAAATTTTATAATGCCATAGGCTTATGTGTTGCTCATTTTATGTTATGGGTTATGTCAAAGAGAATGGGGAAAATGGGTCATATACAGGGTGTCCCGAAAGTATGGGGCCCCCCTAGGCAGACATATACCAGTGTTGTCAGAGTATGTGTCATATTTCATTTTAAAGCTTATCAAAGTTACATTAATTCGCCAAGTATCATGGTTCAACTCTCAAATGTGAAAAAATTAAAGGCATTTCAAAATTTAGTGTTTGGTCAATATTAAGTTCAATTTTCCACCAAATCAATAGTCAATGTGTCCTCCTCGGGCCATCTTAACAGCAGCAATTCTTTTTGGGTCGGATGGATATTGAGTTGGAAAAAGTGAACAGTGAATCAATGTAACTTTGGATAAGCTTTAAAATGATATATGACACACACCATGAGGACAGTGGAATATGTCTGCCTATAGGGGCCCCATACTTTCGGGACACCCTGTACTATGCATATCATTGAGTTTTTGTGTCATATGATGTTCATTACTTACCAAGAGGGGTAAAACAATTGGGACTAGTTGGTATGGCAACTGTATCTGTGATGAAAGGAAACAATGGGGCACTATCCACAATGAATTTGGCCTGGAAAAGAGAGCAAATACCTTCAAACATGTGTGTTGTTAAAGTGACACTGCAATATATATGTAGAGGATAAAATGGTTGAAAATAAAAATTTTCGTTGAATCTATTTTTGAAATATGCATGAAGATTTATTCAAAGATGATGTTTGAACCTTAAAAAAGTCTAAACATTCCTGATAGACATCATAGAAATCAATTGAAGATCATTAACAAGCATTTAAAATTTAATCGAATAGCAGAGTTTGAAAAAAGAGAACATACTTCGTTTATAATCTGTTTCATCATCTTAAAAATATGTTACTTATTTGCCTGATATCTGCTTATTTTTGAGTTGATTATTAAATCAAAAACCAGGTTGCTTAGTCAAAGTATAAGAATTTGTTTGGTCTTGTCCTTGGATGTAATTGATTTGACATTATATCTTAGAATTTCTTTAAATAATACAAATGTTTCTCCCTATTTTGATCTGAAATTTAATGTGTACTGTACTGCAACTAATATATGAATTATGTTTCACATTTTTGCGATTTTGAAATTTAGCGGCGAAAAGAGCGAAATATAGTAGCACGTGAAAATTACCAGGAGTCCAGTATTTTGATCACTTTTCTCATTTTTCTTTTTCTTATGTCCTCCCTAATTTACAAATTCGCCAAGGCAAAACTAACAATTTTAATCACTTATAAATATTTGCTTACCTCAATTTTTAGTTGTCCTATGACATCATGATTTAGAAACAACTGAAGAGACACCTGGTGAGCAAACCCTGGCACTTCCTTCATTTCATTCTTGTTGACAAAAGTGTGGGTCCATGTAGCCTGGGATGCCATCTAAAGTAAAACATATAAAAATAAAAATGAAATTACAAGAGAGGAGACAAGAAAACTTCAAAAAATCCTTTAATTTGGCGGATTGGGCTGAATTGGGCAGTGTGAAATTTTGGCTGCTATTTAATATGGCGGATTGTGAGTCGCCTATATAGCAAAATCATGATTGTGCTTTATAAACTTAATGTCATTCTGATCATGGAACAATTACTTATATACTTTTTTACATAAGTTTAACTTACAGCAATATTGACTTTGACATCATTAGGCTGTACACATGTATTGATGGTTGCTGCAATGTCAACATATTGGCCATCAACATAGTATCTGCAGCTTTCCAGTGTGAACCCCTTGAACTGGCATGTCTTGTAGGCAGATGAAGCTGAAAATAAATTACAACTTTTTTTAAATTTTTAAAAATCATTCAGATCATTCCACAATCCCCATGATGCATTTATTTTTATTCAAATTAAAAGTTATTCATTCTAAATATATTATGACAAGAGGACATACATAGTAGACCTAGTTAACCTCTCCCATTCCCAAACATATTAAATACCTAAAGCGAAAAATTATTTCAATACATGTATATTGATTTGTAAAAATAAGAGAAAATCATGAACACATAGGCATGACATAACTGATATTTAATGTATTTGGTACGGTAGAATAGGATATTATGATATGATGAAAGATTTTTTATGCATCAAGTTCGTTAAATCAATTCTCATACAAAATGTTTAATAGCTTATTGATTTTCCCACATTATTGCGCCCAAGGGGAAATATGTATTTGATATTTAGGCCACATGTGGAGGATTCTCTGTTTTGCATTTCTTTGTAAACAAAAAGTTGACAAAGAGATCATAGTTTTCATTTAAAATTTCTTAAATAACAAATGGAAAAGTAAATGTAAAGCTCAGAGAAAAAAACCTTAAAGGCAAGAAAAAATGTTTGATCAATGAGACTTTTTTATGACCTTTAAGGCAATGAAAATAAAGATGTGTAAGAACTTAATGTGGCCGTGGAAAAACCAAAATTTTAAATTAACACAATGATTTCCTTTTTTTGCAATTTTAGTGCAAATAGGAAGAGAATTTGTTGTTTTGGTACATATACATTATAGGGTGTCTCAAAAAAATGTACCCAAAAGTATGTCAACAGCATAGACAAACCAATCAATATTATAAGACATTTTTTGCATGGTCTTGTAGATAAAAGATGAAAGTTTTTTCCCATATACACAGTTTTCAATTCAGTTTTGCCTTTTTGATACTTCAACCCGTTACCTTTTACACCACATATTCAATGTAACCTCATATTTCGATGACAGTCAGCATCCTTACTACTACATTGTTCATCACATTTGATATTTCTGGTGGAATGTTTTGGTTTCTGTTCGGATTCTGGTCTTAAGTTGTTTTTGGTCTCTTAGCTTGGGTTTAGCATAAAAATGTTCCTTCAGATAGCCTCAGAAAAAAAGTATGGGCCGTCAAATATGGTGAATAGGGAGGCCCTCACAATGTCTTATAGCCCCCTTATACAGAGAGGTCAGAGGTTCAAGAAACTGCATTGGTGGGGATTCTAGTGTAGCCTTTGTTGTGTGTATCAATTTGAGACCACTGTGTTTTCATTTGGATATCATTTGGTCTCCAGGCTAGCCTGCCTAACTCTGGAAGGTAACTCCTGAATTATTTGCCGATAATTGACCTGATTATCTGTGTTTGTTCTGCCATGGTCATCCTCAAACATCTTTCTCTGTGGCTATTTGAAGGAGGGTTTTAATGCTCATTCCAAGCAAAAAGACCTAAAACAACTTAAGGGCAACATCCAAAGAGAATTATTATCAAATGTGATGAACAATGAAGCAGTAAGGATACAGGCTGTCATCGAAATATGAGGTTACATCGATTATGTGGTGTAAAAGATAAAGGGTTAAAGCATCAAAAAGGCAAGACTGAAATAAAAATGGTGTATTGGGGAGAAAACTTTCATGTTTTGGCTACATGACCATGCAAACAATGTCTGAAAATATTGATTGGTTTATCTTTGCTCTTAATATACTTTTGGGTACATTTTTTTGAGACACCCTGTATGTTAAATACGTTTTTGCCACTAAACAAGTAATTTACCTTTAGCACCCTCATTGTTTTAATTATAACATAATATGAGACATTTTTGTCAAACACATTAGCCAAGTGCTAGACTTTTAGTTGTAATTAATAATGAAGATTGCTCATGAAACAGTTGACTTTTAACCTTGGGCTAAATGACATATAATCATTGTGCATTTAAGATAATCAATACATTGCAACCCTTTCATTTTCATTTCATTTATTTATTTTCAAACATCTGGTGAAACATACAGATAAGGCGGATGACACCCTAATGGGCATATTATCCGCACAGAGAAGATGAACATGACAAGCAGTGTTGTGTAAATTATGTATCTCCAGCCTCGCACTCCCCACCCCCATCCCCCACCCGTCAGCATGGTCTTAACAATATGGAAAGTAAACTGGGTTGCCAGTTACAGTCTCTGAGCAGTATATTCGAATAAGGCTAAGTGCTTTGAAAAATGATAGGCGATGATATATGTTGGCTTTGCCAATTAGATGATGGAATAAAAACAATGAGCAGAAAAAGAAAGAACGATAACAATAGCTACTAGGTAGACAGCATAAGTGAATAGCTAATTGGAGATTGTTATCATTGATTGATCAAAAATGACTTGATCTTTTTCTTGAAAAGAGGTATAGAGTTGCACTTAGTAACTTCATCAGGTAATATATTCCATAAATCTGGTCCCTGCTTACTGATGGAATATTTGCCAATGTTTGTTCTAAAAGTTGCTGATCTGAGTTTGAATTGTTGTCTAGTCTCATGTCTATGAATAATATTGTTTGGAGTGAAGTAATAACTGAATTGGTTTTTGGATGTTGGGTCAGTGCCTTTGATACATTTGAAAAGATATGTCAGGATACTGACTTTAAAAATTTGAAATATATTAAGAATGTTAGCATTTTTGAAGAATGGTGCTGTGTGATCTCTTAATTTACAATTTGTATCATATATTCTTATAAATTGTTTTTGCAAACGGTGAATTTTATTTAAAGAAGATGGGGGAACGTTCCCCCATACAATAAGGTTATAGTTTAAATATGAATAAATTAAGGAATAATAAATATGTTTTAAACTCTTTTTGTCTAAAAGGTGTTTGACTCTGTGAATAACTCCCAAAGTCTTTGAGATTTTCGTTTCAACATAGTTAATGTGGGCTTTCCATGATAAATGTTCATCAATAAGTGTTCCGAGGAAATTACAAACTGATTTTCTTTCAAGTGGGACGTTATTCATTGTGAGATTGACTTTGCTGTAATCTATTTCTTTTTGAGCAGTTTTGAAAATAATGAAGTTGGTTTTGTTTGGATTGAGAGCGAGTTTGTTGCATTTAAACCATTCATTTATAATAGATAGCTCTTTATTTGCAGTAGAATTGATTTCATCAAGATTATCACCAGAAAAGAGAATATTTGTGTCATCTGCGTAAAGAAACATTTCTGCTTTCTCTGAACATTTGTAGATATCGTTAATGTAAATAATAAAAAGTAATGGGCCCAGTATTGTGCCTTGAGGCACTCCACAGGTAAAATTGGCTATATCTGAGGTTGTATCATCAATTTCTACAATTTGAGATCGATCTGAGAGATAACTTTGGAACCATTTGAGAGCAGTACCTCTTATGCCATAGTGATCTAGTTTTTTCAAAAGAATAGTATTGTTTAAAGTATCAAACGCTTTTGAAAGGTCACACATAATTCCTAAACAAAGTTTCTTTTTATCAATAGAAAGTCGTACGGTTTCAACAAATTTTAAAAGTGCCATGAAAGTTGAGTGATTTTTCTTAAATCCGTATTGGTGGGCATAAAATACATTTTGTTTTTCAAGAAAATCAAAAGTTCGAATATATATACATTTCTCAAAGATTTTTGAAAAGACTGATAAGAGAGAGATAGGTCTATAATGGTTAAATACATCTGTTCTGTCTTTTTTGTGGATTGGAATTACTTTTGCGAATTTAAGTTTATCTGGAAATACTCCAGATGAAAATGAAAGGTTAATAACATGCATAATTGGAAAGCCTAGAAATTCACTGCATTCCTTTATAACAATAGGTTTAAAATTATCTGGCCCAGCTGCTGAGTCAGATAGCTGCGTGATAATTTTAACAATTTCTGTATGATTGGCTGGAGTAAGAAATATGGAATTATTTACTCTATTCATTTTATTCAAAAAAGTATCAGGTGAATAGTTGGATTGTCCTACATTTTTTGCACAATTAAGCCCTACATTTGAAAAAAAGTTGTTGAATCCGTTGGCTATATTTTTCTTACCTGTTATTGTTTTATTATTTTCTGTAAATGAGGTAGGTAGAGGCTTGTAATTTTTCTTTTTTCTTTGCATAATTTCGTTCAAAATTTCCCAAGTTTTTTTAATATTAGATGATACTTCTGAGAACCTAGATTGATAATATTTTCTTTCAGCAATCCTCATAATATGTTTCAATCTATTCTTATAATTTTTATAAATTTGATTATTTTCCTGCGTTGAGTTTTTAAGATATTTTAGGTAAAGTTTATTTTTTGTCTTACAAGAAGTTATTATGCCAGATGTGAGCCAAGGTTTACCGTTGTTTTTAAATTGCTTGACATTTTTGGATTTAACAGGGAAGGCCTGTTCATATTGGATTGATAATTTGTTATTGAAAATTGAATAAGCTTCATTAGTATCTTGACATTCAGTAACATCACTCCAGTCAATCATTCGTACATTACGTTTGAAATTACTTATAGAGTTATCATTTATTAATCTGTAGTGTATATCTTTAGTCATAGTTGATTTTACATTTTTTTCTGTAATGGCAAAAATGGGTAGGTGGTCAGAAATTGATTGAACTAGTATACCTGCTGATTTTATATTTGGGACATTAGTGAAGATGTTGTCAATTAAGGTTGCTGAATGAGGTGTAACTCTAGTAGGTTTAAAGATCAAAGGAAATAAGCTATATGAAAATAACAAGTTGATAAAATCATTTGACGGATTATGGTGTTCTACCTTAAGCAAGTCAATATTAGTATCACCCATTAAATAGATTGATTTGTCCTCAGAACATAAAGAGCGAAGAAATTCTTCAAATTTTTCATTAAAATTGTTGATATTAACGTCAGGTGGTTTGTAAATACATGACACTAAGATGTTTTTTGAATTGGGGTTGAGTATTTCAATAGTTGTGGAGTTGCAATCATTGTGATTTAATTTTAAGTCTGGTCTAATTTTACAGTTTAAACCTTTACGGACAAACAAAGCAGTACCGCCACCGTTAGTATCTCTGTGGTCAAAAAAGGATTCATATTTATAATGATAAGATAATGATTCAATATTACTATTAAGCCAAGTTTCAGAAATACCAATTACCGAAAAGTCTTTCTCAAATTGTGCCATCAAGCCATATAAGGCTGATTTATTTGCATTGAGGCTCCTTGCATTAACATGTAAAACTGTAAGTTCATCATTTGATGAATTTCTAAGGTCATTGTTTACACTAATTAAGTTTTCATGATATTTACATGAATTCATATTAGTTTCTAATTGAGAGTCTAATTGATTAATATCATCCTTGTCGTTTGCAATGTTATTAAGATCTTTAGCATTGAAGACAAAGTTGTCACATTGGTCGTATATAGAAATGTCATCTAACATAGCATTGGCAAAAGGCAATATGCTCCAGAGACCTGGCATATCAGTATTGATATTATCCAGGATCAAAGATATAATTGACCATGCTGGAGGGTGGGGAGTGGGAAGTGGTGAGTGGAGGCGAAAATACTGTATCACACATCATGCAAGAATGGGAGGGGCATACAATGCAGATCAGGATCTCTCTGCATAGATGAACCATAAAACACAAAATATAACTATAATGATACATACATTCACCATACTACTATAATTATAGTGAAAGATATAATAGAATAATTCAATTCTGACAAGAGTTACCATACAGAGCCTTACCAGAGCCTTCACTTATTATAGGTTGAGTTTTTCTCTGTGATTCACTGACAGATCCCACAGACATGTCATCGTAAATTCATTGAGGCCAAAAACCATTTGTAGTGACATATTCTCAAAGTGGGTTTGATTTTCCAAGTTTATATGTAATTTAAAAAAAAACAGAATAAAAGATGTATCCGAATTATTAAAATCCTTTCAAAAGTAACTTTGCACTAACCTGTTTGCCTAAGAAGAGACGTCACTGTGAGAATCGCAAGTGATATCGCCCACATAGCCATGTTGTAGCTCAGTTGCCATGTATTTCTATAACCACGACAGCTCTACTGTAACATTTTTTCCACTAATGCTATCCCCTGAAATTGAAGAGAATATGAACATACATTGTATATGTGATACTCATATTAATGTAACAACTGGACTGCATCTGGAGAGCTGTATTTGCAATCTCATTCAGTCTGACATACTAAAATAAAAAATTTTATGTTGGCAACAAGTTCATATGGTTAAAATAACGAAATGATGTGATACTTACCAGTATGTTCTATGTCATCACTCGCCCAATACAACATTGTGAATTCAGCCAAACCTGACTCTGAAGTTTTCTCAGGAAGTAAAAATCAATCGAAAAAATAATTTCATTTTGTTGAAATCTCCTAGCAGTTCGTTCAGAGCAATCATGCCTCATTTCAATCATCGCATACCTTACTGCCAATTCTTAAGTTCCCGGGGACCTTTGGTTCCACCATGGGCTCTACCACCATCTCTGATAGAGCCCATGGTTCCACTTATTTCTGGCAGTTACTAACATAATTGCTTCATTTCTTTATAACAAAGGATATCTATAATATAAGAAATTTATCTTTCATAAACATTCTTATGATAATTATGTATGATACACACAAAAATGCTTATTTTAAAAGTAGGTCACATTATTTTCTTAATCAACGTGAGGTGCAAGTACTATAATCAAACATGAATTTTGAAAATTCCAAACATATTTTTCACATATATGCATAAGTGACAAACTGTGAAACCCTTGCTCCCATTGTGCTATATGTCAAAATGTACTACTTCATCTAGAGGTCAGATTAATCTACCTAAAATTATATTGAGTCAGATTACTCTTTGAGATATTAGCACCGATTTATTGTAAGTCACGTTTGCTACCATTTTGAATATTGGCCAATGCCCAATAAACTTGTCCATGTGGGAACTATTTTTGACCCAAATCGCTAATTTTGTAATATAAATGTAAATTGATACCACATTATGGCAAAATAAGTACCGTAGAAGCCAACAGTGGCGTTTTTTGAACAAAACAAGATGTTTAAAACAAGAGACTAAAACAGGCATTTACATTTCGGCAGATTGGTATCAAACTCATGAAGGATTGAGGTAGAATTACTCTGAACGAACTGCTTTAAGAGATATTGACGTCAAATGGAATTTTTATCGTACCTAATAAAGGTACGATATTGTAGTCAGCTTGACGGGCGGCGGGCGGGTGGCGTCTCACTTTTCAGCTTGTCTACAGGTTTCCAGCCAAACCATTTGACAGATTCATCTGAAATTTTCAGGAATGTTTCTACGTATCAAAGTTAAGAACTGATTAGTTTTTGGGCATTCTAGGTAAATTTTAAGGTGGCCATTTTGGATTTTCCGTCCTAAAATCTTCACTTTCAAGACTTGTCTACAGGTTTCCAGCCAAACCATTTGACGGATTCATCTGAAATTTTCAGGGATGTTTCTACGTATCAAAGTTAAGAACTGATAAGTTTTTGGCATTCTGGGTAAAATTTAAGGTGGCCATTTTGGATTTTCCGTCCTAAAATCTTCACTTTCAAGACTTGTCTACAGGTTTCCAGCCAAACCATTTGACGGATTCATTTGAAATTTACAGGGATGTTTCTACGTATCAAAGTTAACAACTGATTAGTTTTTGGGCATTCTGGGTTAATTTTAAGGTGGCCATTTTGGATTTTCCGTCCTAAAATCTTCACTTTCAAGACTTGTCTACAGGTTTCCAGCCAAACCATTTGATGGATTCATCTGAATTTTTCAGGGATGTTTCTACGTATCAAAGTTAAGAACTGATTAGTTTTTGGGCATTCTGGGTAAATTTGAAGGTGGCCATTTTGGACTTTCCGTCCTAAATTCTTCACTGTCACACTGCTGTGTTTTAGGTACGATATTGTTAGCGTCTGTGCCTTGTTCAATTAATTTTTACTTCCTGAGAGAACTGCCTCCATAGTCTGGTTTGACAGAAATAAAAATATGACCTACTAGTCCGCAGGATGGCTGAGAACATACTGGTAAGTAGATATGTGGTTACATCACATCATTTCCTTATCTTAACCATATGAACTTGTTGCCAACATAAAAGATTTAACTTTACTGAATACACCACAAAGGCAACTTTCAGAAAATAACAACAAAATAACACTGTGACATTTTCATTGCTGGAAAATATAGAGATGTGTCCCTTGGAGCCAATTCTCCTTAGGTCTCCAATGTTTGTTGACTTTGTTGAAACTGAATCTTGAGTACCTTTTCAAAAAATTAAAAATCTGAGTGATTCAATTTCAATCATGAGATTTGTTCTTTAGTCTCATTTTGTGACTAAAATTGCATCCTGACTGAAAAACCAGAGATTTACACTTACCGTAGCATAGATACAACATTCAAACGTCCATATATTCTTCCTATATTGTGATGAAGTGTTTATTTTTATAAAATTTCTCTTTGTTTGCACTTCATTTCCGGGTTTGGATCGAGGCTACACAGAACGAAACGCAATTCAGCTTCCGCTTTTAATATGTCGAAAAATGATTATTTCCGGATGCCTTCTTGGGCAGCAATTGCGCTAGTTCCATACGGGATGGGCATAGTCACGGTGAGTAAAGGTCAATGTTTATATTATCTACAGATCAAACAACAGAGATGTATGCTTTACGAGAAATATACTTATTGCTATGTATTGTAAATCCAAGTGGAAATATTGAACTTCAACCTTTCAGTAAAGTTTCACCGGGCTTTCCCGGGGATACGCTTTCTTATGCATTCACGTTAAATATTCCAGATAGGTGCCTACGACATCGGATTGGGAAGGGCAATCACTCCTAGTCTACTTATACCAATTTATAATCTCATTGGCGGACTTTTGCCTACAATGTAAGTAAATATTTACCCGGGAGTTGTACGTCACAGTGGTCCAGGGGTCTGGCCCCGGGTCTGGCTGGCCCGAGGTTTGGTCTCTTCCCCAACTGTTCTCTGACTACCTATGCAGATTTCACTTATTTTATCAGATTCACAAATGACAGTGTCCAAAAAATGTTAGCATCTCTTGGAGAAACAAGAATTGAATGGGGATCACTCCAGACATATATGTAGTTGTACATGAACACTACGTGACTGGGATTTGCCAACTTCTGACACTAATGTTGTAACGTTTTTAGTATCAAAATGCCATTTCAAAATTATATAGCGATCAAATTCTCTAAAATTCCCATGACGCACGGCATTGGCACAGCGCTCATAATCTTGGCGGCTTGGAAGAGCGGTTTCCCTCATTGCATCGTGAACCGGTGCACCATACCATATACCATATTTCGCTACCAACGGGCGCACAAGAAACCATAGTTACTTTAAATATAGCTTAACTATAATAAAGGAGCTATGCAGTAGAACTCAATAGAAATTACCACTGGACAATAGAGGGGCATCTTTGCATACATGTACCTGTATTTTCCATATTTATCCTTACTCACATATCAATTGCAGTGCATTGTTAGCGTGGGCAGCCCATGCTGGTGAAGCTTACTATTCAACAGTTCTATGCAGGTTTGTCACCATTTCGAAATAATACTACCAGACCAAAACCAGTAAATCATTCAAGCTCGATACTCCGTTGCCCGGCGTCAACCATTTTGGTAACAAAATCAAGTTACTCATATTTTGAAGACTAGAACTGCCAATGAACTTGAATATCACCACGAAATAAAATATAACGAATAGTACTTGGTCCAAAGAGAACTTTATTGAAATATTTTTACTCAATTGTTCCACGCCGGGCAACAGAGTATCAAATTTGAATAATGACTGGCAATCCTCCTTGCATGTCACATATTGTTTAAATGATGTCATTCTTAGAGTTACAATTCACAAAGATTATTCACCTATTGCAATTGCTGAACATTCTTTAAATTCTTCACAACATGATATACCTATTTATGGGCATTCAATTGAAAGCCCATGACCTATTGAAACTATAAGTATTAAAATGTAAAGATATACGCTATATATCAGATGCTGGCACACTTTTGCCGGAAGTTTGCAAGAAGTAACTTTTGGCAATATAGTATGTTAGAGTAACCTAGTAGGTGTAAGAAAATATAAGGTGATGGGCTTTAGAGTGGTAAAAACAATTTTTACGGCCGAATTAGACCTCAACCCCTATGAATTCAGGGGTACTATAAGATTATTTCATAACATGAAGGATATACTTGCTATTGTTCTGTTTTCTACAGCACACATTACTAGTCCAGAGTTGAATAATATCCTAAAGTAATAGGCAGATATTTGTATTAGTCCCAGAAATATTGCAATTAATAGGGGAAAAATATGCAATTTTAGTCATTTTTAAGTCTCGCCTATTTTATATTTGTAGCTTCAAGCTTAAGATGGGAGCTTAAATAGCTTTAAATAGTTTTCTAAAAACTAGTTCAAACTTAGTTTGATATTGTAATATAACTATGATAATGATAATGTATTATTTTTTATTTTTTATATGCCTTTATAGTGCCCTACCCCTAGAAAGTGGGCGTGGTCAATGTTTTCATTTTGCAGCATATAGTTAAAAATGTGTATTGATAGAAAGCAAATCAATGCATTTAAAACATCTTCAATTGTTACTTGACAATGTAGTTCATTAATTGCTAGAATCCAGCACTCTACATATTTTATACATAAACTTTCAACTTAGTACATATCTCATAATGAAGTCTAATGTAATCATATCTAATCATTCTGGAATTTTCAGATTTATTAGACAACAAGTCTTTTGTGGGTCATATTTGATATAATATCCATTGTTAAAATGTAAGAAGACCTTTCTAACAGACCATAATACATCAATTTATGAAAACTGACTTCAGAGATACCACATTTTTGGTCACAAACATTTGGTGAACTTATAGACAAAGGGATACAGAACATAATGATGAAGGCAAATCTAATGCATGCTACAAAAATAGATTTTGTTTGTGACTCATATGTAGATGGCTCAGTTAAGGATTCTGAACGTAAGAGACGTGCGAAAGGGGCGAAAGCCATTGAACTACGCCAAATAACAGAGAAGACACCACTGCCAGCGAAGATGGACTTTTTCTGGAACAGTGGCTCTAATAAAGCAAAATTGCAGCATCTTTTGAGGGGAAAGGGTGAGAGAACTAGCAGGAACTGTACCAGAGAAAGTCTTTGTGGTAAGTGGAACCATTGGTTGTGTGGAAGAAGAGTGCATAAGCTTCAGTACACCTGAAAGAGCTATTCCAATACTTAAGCATGAAGAAGCAGATGTCAGACTCATTCCACATGCAGCCGACGCTTCATCTCAAGGATATCAGCGTGTTATTGTACTGTCTAACGACACAGATGTAACAGTTCTTCTGTTACACCATTTCACAGCATTTGGACTGTTAGAAATATGGCAGAGGGTAGGTGTTGGTGCCCGGGCTAGGTACATTCCAATTCATGCATTGTCAAGAGAATTAGGACCACTTGTGTGTGCCACTCTCCCTGCTGTGCATGCGCTTACAGGTTGTGATGTTACCAGTAAGTTTGGAACCAAGTCAGCCGCCCTAAAAGCTGATGCAAACTTGCTATCAGAATTTGGCAGGAATCCAACAGACGAAATGGAATCTCAACAGGCTGAACATTTTCTTGTTCAAGTTTGGAAAGAAAAAGGTGAATTCCAGAATATGGATGACCTGCGTTATTGGGTGTATCATCATGAAACAGGAAAAGCCCTCAATGCACTTCCACCAACATCTCATCTGTTACAGGATCATATAAAGCGATCTTTCTTGGCAACCTACCAGATGGTGCATGCATTGAATATTGACTACATTCCCCTTGATCCTCGACAGTATGGATATGGACTGAAGGATGGATACCTGCTGCCAATTCAGAATCTGAGATTAGTGCCACAAGATTTAGTAAGCGAGTGTAGCTGCCTGAAATGTGCAATAGCAACAAGTCTATGCAAACAACACGAGACCCCATGCATTTCATTCTGCAAATGAAATAGCATTGAGCCAGTACAGTGCAAAAATCCATATATGTCAGAATCATCCTTATTGAATGTTATGCTAAATGTGACTCCCGTTCAAACATAGGCATTTAGTATTGCATTGAGACTAAATTAGGAACAATTCATTTAATACATAAATGAATATTAGAATGCTAATACCTCTAATGTGGTTCAAGCATGTTTTAGCATATGCATCTATGATGGTGTAGGCATTTCATTGGCAATATCTGATTATAATGACTTCTCAATATATTTAATTTCCATAATGTTGACTAGATCTCTTGTACTTAAAGGGTTCCGATAATCTTCCCGTATAAAAACAATATGGCGGCTCCAGGCGAATCAACTGGATCAGTCCATTTTTAAGAAATAAGGGGAGTTCTGTAAAATCCAGTTTATTGAAATTGTCTTAAAGTAATCCGTTTATAATGATTTTGAAAACATTATCCAAAGAGTGATTGTGTTCAAAGAATACATGTACAACAGCCAATATAAATCCTTGTATTAGAACTGCTTTGTTTCATTGGTAGGGTATTTCATATATGCCAAGCTGTGTGCTATTACGTTATGGGGAAATTTAGATGCCAATTTTTCCTTATTATACACAAATAGAAGATCCTGAAACTACACCCATAAATGTGGAATTGATTTGTCAAAATAAAAATCACCCTTTTATAAATGTGTGACGATCTATAATATACTTATGCTATATAAAAGTTAGAGGTGTTGACACAACGACCTCGAGCCTGTGAACCCTTGAGTATTATTCCGGGATCGGGCCTTTTATACTAAACGGTGAGCAACACCAGAAACGAGCGTTCGATTTGCTAAACGATATGCGTCACCCTTTAAAGTGCCTGATAAACTATAAAATGCGCATGCGTCCAGGTGTTAATAAACTATAAATAGCGAAAACCCAGGGTTTGTCATTACAAGGTAAGCCAGGACGTGTTGAGCGAACATCTAGTGTTGATATTGAATTTACATGTAGCCAGATAAGTTTCCTTATTGAAATTACATATAGTTATTAGCAATACTTTGTAGGTGATAATTAATAAAATATGAGTATATATGAGAGAAATTGGCCATTTCGAACCTGTTGAAAGTTTGTGGCTCTCGGCTACACCGGGGAATTTACTTCCATGAGTACAGACACAAATGTGGGGCTCCCCAAGAGGTTCGCGAGAAGGTGACCTGGCATCAAATGTACGACTAAATGCTTCTATCGAGTAGATAAAAGAAAGAATACGACAATAAGTTATTGCAAACGACAATTCCGAGCATTCATCTCACTGAAGTATTTTGAAGTGAAGAAAATTGATTTTTGTTTTGAAACATGGATTCAGATGAACGTAACTTCATTCTGACAACTAATCAAAACTGAACAAAATTGATTATACGTAACAGACGATTTATTGTTTTACAATGTTTTGATCGGCGAAAAGAATGAAACCAAGAAATTATGACAT